CAAAATTAATGACCCGTTGATTCCTAGATTTCTTGGAGAATGGAGAGACTGTTCGATTTCCACTTCTAAACCGAGGCAAGATCTCCAAAGAATTGACGCAGAAGGGAGAAAATAGGAAGTGTCACCACATTGGGAGGTAATCTATTTTATTTATATCAGCTGTGCATTGAACATACTATTGGGGTAAGAACGAAGTGATGTGGAGGGCAGCTACACTGTACAATGTCAGGAAGCAAATAGAAAATAAACAAATTGGTGTTCTTCGAAGTCATGCAAACTTGCAGCTTTGGGGATAATCTCTATATTGTCCATTTATTGAGTAATATTTTGTCATGTGTCTGAATCACTGCTGTACACTTACGAACATAGCTTGTTATGTGTTCTTTAAATGTCTACAGTTGATTAATATTCAAATAAAATGTACACTAAACATGTTCATTAGCTGTATATCTTGAGTCCCAATGCAGTTAATTTAATTGCCAGAAAATTTGGGAATGAAAAATTTGTGTAAACTACAACAACAAAAGTAAGATGTACAAGGCATGTACCAGCTTATGCATTCCAATACCTCAGATAGTTTCATGTTTCTTCTGAACCCTTACCTGGAGTAAAAAGAAAATTAGGTTTACTGCCTTTTTTGTTTACTTATTTATCTCTTTTTCTCTTGTAGAGTTTTTCCTTACTTTATATTATGCTGGAATACTCCAGGCAAAATTTAATGAAATTAAATATATTTTAAACTTTTGGAAAAGTAATTTTAGTAACCAATTTTAAGGCCTTTTCAAAATATACATCTATTATTTGTGTGATAATCCCAATACTACAGCACCAAATGGTCTCCTCTTGGAGGTATTGTTGAGGCAAATCTCAAACCGCCTAAGTAATTGCCACTAATTTTTCACAAGGTAAACTCAAGAAAATTCTATATTTGTGGTAACTAAGAGCTTTACTACCATTCTCTGCTTCTCTGGTGCATATTTGGAGGAGGAGGAGTCATTCTTGGCCAGCTTCCTTTGATTCCTTTCCATACTCATTTTCCCTAAGGTCTCCCCTATCTCCAGGGATATCAAATTTCTCAGGCTACACTGTTTAGTCAGGATGCAATCTTTAATGTCATAAACACGGGTTCCCTGCAGACCATGTAATCTAACTCCCATTAAACTCAGAGCATGGGTGACAATATATTGCTGAAAGTCAGATAATCTAAATTACTTCCCAAAGGAAATTGTGTGTGAATAAGGAATGAATTTTTTTAAAATTATAAGGCAAAAGACTTACAGCAGAATTTAAGGCATAGGGTCAGAAAGTGAGATACGAGAAAAGAAATCTATATCTACATGGCTTTCCTGGTATATCACTGGTGCCTTAAATATAATACTACACAGGCAACTGTCCACATATAAACTCCTTCATTCAGAAAATGGTTGTCTGCCCCTAAGGCATGGGCCATTATCAAATAAGTTCAGTTCTGATTTTGGTACCAAGAAAAATTATGTTTATTAAGGCTTCTTGTCGCAGGAAACAATATGATGGGGTTCAAGGCAGCTTACCCCAAAATATGCCACTTTGATATATTAATTAGTTTGAGTTAAAATTAATTAAGAAACAGCCAGTGCAAGGCCACTCTGACTCTCCTTGTCTCCCTGAAAGCAGGAAAAAATCTCCCTTATGAAAGTTATCTCCTTGCACCGGAAGATAGAGAGACATCCTAATCATCAGGGAAGGGAATTCAGGGCTGAAAAGACTGCATAAACAAGCTCTGCTTAGTTTCTTCACTAATGACTACCCAAGCCTAAGTTCTTTTTTCTTTTTCAATTCTTTACAAATTTATTTTTTCTTTGTTTAAAGCATGTAAACCTTGCCTGCTTTGGTCACTTCTTTGGATCTCATATCTTGGGATCTTCGTCCATACAAAATTAAATTAATTTTTTCTCCTCTTAATCTGTCTATGTCAATCTTATTATTAGACCAGCCAAAATAACCAAGAGAGGTAGGGAAAATTGTCCCCTCCCCAACAAAGAAAAGCAGAGGCTGTGAGTTACTAAAAGCATCTTTATTCTATAAGCAAGCAGCACATTTTCAGTAACATAAAAGGTAATTAATGAAATAGTCTACGAAAGTTATATTCTTTATTAATTTTACAAGAATATCTTGAAAACATATTATGTACAATAAACTGCTAGAGCTTTAGAATCATAGCTATATAAAGAAGGATTGTGGAACTGGAAATAACTTTAAGGATAATTGTCAAACACTCTTACAGAAAAGGGACTGAAGTCTAGTAGGGAAGGATGATTTGTTAAATATAACAGAGATTTAGAGTTGCTTCGGATACAGGGTTCATAGTATATGTCTGTAGATTATTTTTCAGAGAGTTTAAAATTTGCTGCCACTAGGTTTATACAGGACTTCCCACTTATTGGATCACTGAGCTTTACTACTGCTGTATTCTAACAAATGTAGTTGTATAGCCTATCACAGGTATGTATTTGTCTGTTCATTGTGGTACACATATGAGAAAATCTACCCTCATTATGACATTATTCCCTTTAGAGATTCCAGCGCAAGGCTGAAGGAAAAGAGTCTACAAATAAAAAAATGCCTTTTATATCAAACCACCTCATGGTCATTGATAATATAATATTCAGATAATAATATTTTCATCAGTCCCATATGGATGCGTGAGAATGGTGTGACATGGAGATACAGACATTGGAAGGAAATGGTGAGGAATGAAGTAATAAGCTCCAACAGACCAAAGCCTTTTGACGTTTTCCCTATTTCTGTAGAATCCCAACATGAAATGGTTAGTTCAATCATCTTCCACAAGTCCCTATTTAAGTGATGAAGCTACTATGCAATATTCCTTTTAAGTGATTTTTTGGGGAGATGAAGCCTGAAATTAATCGAATTGATTCTTCCATTTTCAGGCATACATTTATTGAGCTTATGATACCTCATTTATTGGGTTTAAAATTTCCTTCGTGTTAGTTCACATTCTTTAGGTGTGATTAAAGGGACCAATATGCAGTTCAAATGAATCTTTACATGATGTTACTGACATATGTCATATCAAAGAAAGATATAACCTGAATTAGTGACAATCAACTGAACCTCTGATTTGTTTGGACTTTAGTATATTTCAAACAATGTTTTCTGCCATATTGCTGCCAGTAAGAAAGATTAATAAAATAGAATGGGTAAATTGAGAAAATATATTACAGGTGGAAATCATGAAGACTTTTTTCCAAAAGAAGCATTAACCATTGATTTTTTTCTACTGCCACTCTTTTTTCAATCTGTCACAGTATTCGGCAAATGCCACCTTGAAAATGACAGGATCCTCTTGGAGTTTACTTCCATTCCGAAATTCTTTCACCAAGGACATTTACAATTACTTAAGGGACAGATTTTTAATAGACAGTTTGCAACATCACTGAGTCTTTTATGGCCTTTAGATATATAGTGACGTCCATGCTTTCTTAACAAGCTGCTTCCAGTGGTTGACATAAGAAAATAGGAAGAGCCAGATGAAGCAGAACACTTCAAGAAAGTAGGCAAATGAATGCTTTTTAATTTTCATGTAATTAATATGAATATCATTATAGATTTATTACCTTAGTATACAAAACCATTTTATGTGCTTTTTTAAAAGGCATAAAAAGAGGCCGGCCCAGTGGCCCAGTGGTAAAGTTCACATGTTCTGCTTCAGCAGCCTGGGGTTCACCGGTTTGGATCCCGGATGTGGACCTACACACTGCTTGTCAAGCCATGCTGTGGCAGATGTCCCATATATAAAGTAGAGGAAGGTGGGCATGGATGTTAGCTCATGGCCAGTCTTCCTCAGCAAAAAAGGAGGAGGATTGGTGGCAGATGTTAGCTAAGGCCAAATCTTCCTCAAAAAAGTTTAAAGATAAAAAAGCTGTAAAATATGTATACAAGGCACATATCACACCCTCATTTAATTATGTTTTGACAGATACCTAACAAAAACTCAAAAATGTAATCAGTTATGTTGAGTTTTATTATTTGTTTTTCTCTTTTGTGTCTCAGACATGACACAGGTACTGGTAAGACAGGTATGATGCTCAGTCCTTGAGCAAAGAATGCTCACAGTCTCATGTTAGAATCAACAATTTAATCAACAGAGTGAGAAAGAAAATGATGTCTTAGGCAGAGTATTATTTGCAAACAACAAACAGAGGCATTTGACTAGGACTGAAAAGGGAAGAAAAACTGAGTGGAAGTAAATGACTTGAGAATTTTAGCACAAAGATCTGCTTTACCAGGACCCTCCACTCTGCTCTCTATCTTTCCCATGTTGACTTCATAATCTCTAAGAAGGCATTGTCTTCCCACCTCAAGAGCTCTAATTCCCAGCCTCTCTGTCTAGAATCCTTACTTCTCCCCACCATCAATTGTATCCTTATTCCTAGTGTATTTCTAAAACTGAATTTCAAAGCATCTTTACTTCTCTGTACTCTGGATTTAGTTATTTTTCTTGAATTTAGTGGATCCTGCCTTTTTACTTCAGGGTGGTTTAGAGTTTATTATCAATTATTTGTAATATTATTTAATTAGTCATACTCATTTTCTTCAGGATGCATTTCATTAGGACACATTATTATGCAAACATTATTATACATTATTATGGATTCACCATGAAATGCAAAACACCTAGAAGTGCAATGTAAACTCTAATAGCTCTTAGACTAATTAAAATAATGCATAACATAAACATCAAACAAATGAAAAATTGGCACACTAAAATGGAGATTGGAAAGTTTTCCAAAAATAGAGAGTACCTTTTTAGAAACTGAGATATACAACGAAATATAGCATACTTAGGAATCTCCAAAATATTGGTACCATTCTGACTTAGTAAAATACTTACTTTACTAATTAAGGTATTTTAGACAACTTTATAGTATAATAAACGATTTGGAAAACACAAGGGTATGTTTGTTTACATATATAAATACATATTTATTTATCCTATCTACCTATTTGTTTAAAATTAACTTTTAATTTTTAGTTTTTTCAGGGCGTTTTTCACATCTTTGTTCCGCAGGCTATAAATCAGAGGATTTAACATGGGGATCACAAGGGTGTAAAACAATGAGGTCATTTTGTCTTGATCTAATGTGTAGGAAGAACTGGGACGGAAATACATGAAGAGCATCGTTCCTTGGAAAATTGCCACGGCAGTTATGTGGGAGATGCAGGTGGAGAAAGCTTTGAACCTCCCCTCAGCAGAGTGGATCTTCAAGACTGATAGAAAAATATAACAATAAGAGACAAGAACGCCTGAAATGGTGCTCAGTTCAATGAAGCCAAAAATGGTGAAAATTGCTAACTCATTGATCTGTGTATTCGAGCAAGATAGCAAAAGGAGTGGCGGGACATCACAGAAGAAATGATTAACCTCCTTTGACTGACAGAAACACAAGTGGAATGTTAATGTTGTGTGTATCAAAGCATCTGCCATTCCCACCAGATAAACCCCAGCCATCAGCAGGGAGCACACTCTGCTAGACATATTGACTGTATAGAGCAAGGGGTTGCTGATGGCCTTGTACCTATCAAAGGCCATCACAGCCAGGAGTACACACTCAGAATCTGCAAATATACAGAAGATGAAGAATTGCAGAGCACAGCCAAAGAAGGGGATTGATTTCTTCTTGGAAAATATGTCTACGAGCATTTTGGGCCCAATTGCTGAGGAATAGCAGAGGTCACAGAAAGAGAGGTGACTGAGAAAAAAGTACATGGGTGTGTGCAACTGGGAATCCATCCTAATTAAAATGATCATTCCAAGATTTGCCAGAAGATTGATGAGATAAACGACCAGAAATGTGGTAAATAGGGTAATTTTGGTCTCAGGGTTATTGGTAATTCCCAAGAGAAAGAATTCATTCAAGAAGGAGCAATTTCCCCTGTCCATCTTCTTTATCCTTGTTGTAAACTTTTGCAAAAATGATCAAGAAAATTATAGTTTGGCATTTGACTCTTCTGGATTTCTAAAAAGTGTTACCTGTAAGACAGAACATGGTTTGTTCCTGTAAATTGTTTTCTTTGCCCTTAGAATATAGCCCAACAAGTGTCACTTTTAAAGAGGCATTATTGTTTTGTGAAAAAACTAAAAATTTCTGAGATTAGAAGTTGATAAACTTTAATTTTAAATCTGCATCTCACTCCTGAGATATGTGACTCATCTTGGCTCCTGTCAGCCAATGTCAGGCAGTAGATTTGAATGAGCTGAAAGCTCATTCTACATCCAAAATAATACAAAAGGCACAATATAGTTAGAGAGACAAGGCCAGAAGATACAGGATTAATATATGTTTGGCAAAAGGATCACATTTATTACATTATTCAAGAAACTCACTGGGGGGAGTGCCAAATGGGGAAAGGGGTCATTTGTACAGTGATGAATAAAAACTAGGCATTTGGTGGTGAACATGATGTAGTCTATATGGAACTAAATACATAATGATGGACTCCTAAAATCTGAGTAATGTCACAAACCAATGTTACCTCAATAAAAAGTATGCAATTGCATGTGTCACTGACAAAGATATTACATTAAATGAGCATTATTATTGTATTGTTTTTGGTGTATGGTGTCTTTAGTGTTTACTGAAACATGACCATGATTTGTAGAACTATTCTATCATTCTCCATCACTGGTTTGCCACAGAATTTATAACCCATTTGCATGAAGGATCTTGGCCAAAGCACAAACTCCTTCAGAAGTCAAAGAGAACTGCTAAAAAGAAGTGAGAACAGCAGATTATGATGAATAAAAGCACATATCATAGATTTTTAATTGACTTTTTCATTAAAATGAAAATGAGAGGAGGAAAAAATGAATGTTTCTGAGGTATATAATTTTCTGTTTCGTTTATTTGTGTAAGTATCATGTATGTATCTATTGATATATGAAAATAGTAATGTGCATTCTGATTTTATTTTTAATTTCTTCTAGACTTAAATATTATAATATGTGGTCTGTATGCACTTGGACTTACATATATTGGTATTTGTAATGTGTTATCTCTTGTTTTTGATAAAAGTAAAGCAAATCTTAAATTTACATATACAATGATATTACTTGCACAGTGATAAAAAATGATGTTTACTTATCAACCTTGATTAAAATATAAATAAGTTAAATCTTTACTATTCTCATAGAAATGGCAATTGAAGCCAATCAAATTCATACAGGGCTAGTAAAGAAATATCACCGTTTGGTTATTATATTGCGGAATTAATTCAACTGAATAAGGCAGGTATAAAATAATTCACTTACAAATTCTTCAATACATGATTTTTCCCTATATTCTTTAAATTTGTTCATTTAGACACTTACCTGAAATGAGCAAGTCTTTGTGCTCTTATCTTTGTTACACACACAATAGGCAGATTGCACTTTATTTCTACCTAGTGACTTTTGGGACCTAAATCTCTAAAGTAACTGCCTTCACTCTTCTGTGTTGTGTGAATGCTATTAATTAGATTTCTATTTCTGCATTTTCCCCTGTGAATGATGCAACAAATTTAGCAAAGGCTGAACTTCCAATTCTTCACTCATCACCAAAGTGATCAAGGACATAAATTTACCAGAATTTATTTTAATGTTATGTTCATGGCACATAGATCTATACCCTCCTCCAGTGAAACCAGATGTCTAATAAAATTCAAATAGGTCCTCTACATAATGATTTCCACTCATATTTATTGTTGATCATGTGTCTTCCATTTCTTAGAAACTCTCATTCACCTCCCATTTAGACATATGGTAATCTTATTTACTGCTTTTTTCATTAGTCATTGTCTGATTCCTTTCCTCCAACTACATGTCAATCACCCTCAGTTTAATGATTTTATGACTGTATAGCATCCACTACACTTAGTATGCTCTTTATTGAATGTTTTTAATCTCATCTCATATGTCTTTCTACATCCCCACAATTCCTAACACAAGGATTGGTGTGATTGATGACTCAGCACATGTGTGTTGTTAGTTTTTTATTGTGAACCTGATAGATGTTCAACACAGAGTAGAAATAAACAAATTTGAGGGCTTTTCTACAAATGTAGTTCATATGTACAAGGATGATTCTTAAAAAAAAAAACTGTGGATAAATTTTTTAAAAAAATCCAAGTTCTGTTTATTTCCAAAAATACTTGTGTGCGCTATTATTCATGGTAGTGATTTGAAAGTTACTGGAAGTGTGAAATTTGTGTCTCCCTAAATCCCTCACCTACAGCTACCAATGTAATCTCTACCCTCCCTGAATCTTGATCAAAAGTATTGGTCTCTTTCATTGGACTCCTTCATTGGGACAGAGAGATAAATACTGCATTCCAATTTTCTAACCATAAAGTACTTTTACCTTCCTTTCTATAAATGTGTTTTTTAAGCACCTCTTCATTCAGCACTGAATTTGTGAGGGCAAAAGTTATGAATTCAATATAGTTCATTATGGAGATCTTAACAAATGCTTTGTGATTTTCATATATTATTTAATTTAACTCATCTTCATGTTTGTCATTATATATTTCAAATATTATCTTGTGTTTCCTGAGCTGTCTCTACTTACCTCATTATGCAGATTCCAGAAGTGTTCTACAGAATTAATCAGTAAATTCCTGGAGTTTCATAGACAATATGTTTTTCTGACTCCAAAGCACTTCTCTTAATAGGTTCCTGACTACAGTATAATGAAAAAAGTCTTTTTTTAAGAAAAAATACCAATTGACTACTCTCATTAAATGTTATAGTGTGTTCATATTAAATTTACAAAAACAGCGGTCTACAGATTCTTAGAGATCTAAGAGAACTGACTGGTCATCGAATGCCTGCTTCTAAACCAAGGCAAGATTCTGCCAGTGATGGAGGCATAGGGGAAAAATAGAAAGGAGTTCCAGATTGAATATAATCTGTTTTATTTTTCTTAGCCAGACAATTTATTATTAATTTTTGTGTTCAATGGGTTGTTGTATTGCACAAATCCAGGAAGAACATATAAAATGAGTAAAATGGTGCCCCTGAAGTTGTGCAATGTGGAAACCTTGGAGGATACTCTCTGCATTGGTCATCTTTTGAGTGACATTTTATATGTGAATCATTGCAAGATGCTGACAAGCACAAGTTTCTATGCATTCATTAGGGTCTACTGTTGATTGTAAAGTCCAATAATGTACTCTTGCTGTACATTTTGCTTTATTGTAGTTAATTTATTTATTTAAAACAATTCGAGTCAATACAAAATTTGTGTGCACAAAAGCAATTTATGAAGTGATAAGCATCAACTAGTGTAGGTACATAAATTTTACGTATATTTTTTTCTTCTAAATCTTCACTAGGAACTAGAAAAGGACATAGCCTTTTTTTCAAAGTTCCTATAAATCCAGACCACATCAAAATTTAAAATCATAAAACAAAGTATAATTGATTTGGGGAAAATGGCTCTTAGTGATATATTTCAATGCTTTTTCACTTTTTATTGTTACTTTTTTGTAACTAAATTTACTAGCCTAGGAGGTATTGTTGAAGCCAAGCTCAAACTAAGAAATTGTAATAATTTGCTCCCCTTTAAACTAAAGATGCTGGTGCATTTGTGTTATCCAAGAGTTTCACTACCATTATCTACTGCTCTGGAGCGTGTTTGAAGTAGTAGGAATTGTCCTTGATCACTTTATTCTGATTATTTTCAAAAAATAATTTTTTCATCAGGTACTTCTCTGTCTCCAGTGATGGCAAGTCTCTGGCCATCTGACTTGCACTTGGTTTAGACAGAACGTAAATTTAACTTCGTAAACATGACTGCCCTTGAAGAGCATTTAGTCTAACTTCCCTCCAATGTTTTCCATTAAAATCTGAGTTTTAGGGACTACATTATTATTACAAATTTGTTAACTAACCTCTTAAAAGAATTTGTATTTAATTGAAGACCATGAAAGAAAATGATTTAGTTGGAAATTAAGATATTAGAGATAAGTATGTGAGAAAAAGTCTGTATCTATATGACTTCCCTGGTGCCACCATAATACTATGTAGGCAATTGTCTACTTATACCCTCCCTCCTTCAGAAAACAGCTATATAGCCCTGAGTCACAGGCCATTGTGAATTAGCTCAGTGCATGATAGTGATACCAAGGAAAACCAGGTTCATTAAATCTCCTTGGTGATGGGACCAATATTAGAAGTTCAGAAGTTGAATAAGACAATTTTGATTTACAAAAAAGACAGCAATTTTAATAGCAAAAGGGATAATTATTCACTGAAATATTCTATGAAATTTCTACCATTTATTTTACAAAAATATGCCAAACATTAGTGTATACAAGGCATTACTAGAGATAAAATTCATAATAATAAAATTCTGAAGTTTCTTACACTGTGATGGTGAATAGACGTTGTTTTTGGAAAGCTTTTTGGTATCTAAAATATATTGAGAGAATACTTAAATGATAAGTACACAGCTAGAAAACTTTAAAAATAATACCCCTTTAGCCATCACGCAGACCAAGAAACAGAGCATTATCAGAATCACCAAAGACTTCTACTTCCTCCCTCCTAAGTCACTAGTCTCTTACCCCCAAGGAATAATTACGTTCTTGACTTTTATCATCATAGATTAGTTTCATAGGGTTTTCAACCATCCATAATTAGATGCCTATAGCACGTACTGTTTCATTCAACAACAAAATTGAGCAGTCCATCTACATTGTTGCATGTAGTTGCAGTATATTCATTCTTATTATTGTATAGCATTCTTTTGTATAAATATGCAATCACACATGTATCTATTTTCATGTGGCGAGGCAGTTGTTTCCCTTTTTTTCTATTCCCCATAATTTTAATGTGAACGTTCTTATACTTGTTTTTGGGTAGAGATACATACACCTTCACTTATCTTGTGTATAAAACCGAGAGCTGGAAATGTGTGTGTGTCTGTGTGTACAAAATTTAGGTTTAGTAAATATTATCATACAGTTGTGCAAATCAGTATGTCAGTTCACACTTCCATCATCACACCATCAATGTGTGAGTCTTCTAGCTATTCCACATACTCACCAGTTGTTAATATCATCTGTCATTTTAATTTTAGCCATTATGTAGAGTATGTGATTCCCCTGATGACTAATGAAGTTGGATACCTACTTTTGTTAGGTGTCTCTTAAAATCAAAATGCAGAACAGAAAGCCGATTAAATGAGTCTCACTGGACGATATCGTGGCTCCTTCAACCCATGCTATCTAACTATATGTCATCATTGCCACTTCCACTTCAGGTCAAATTATCCTAGAATTGTGATATAGTCACACTCATCTGATACTCCTTAATCTCCCCAAAGACAGAATTTGGTTTCTGCATTATGCATTGAGAGAATCATATCAAAATGGATACAGAATGTGGTAGCTGGAATGCACAATAAAGTTTATCTAGTTCAAATCCATCTTTTGACTGGGTGGAAACCAAGGCCCAAAGAGAAAAAGTGATTTGTTGAAGGTCGCAATTACTGTAAATTGATGGTAGATTTCGGACCCAATTTTCTTATCATTGCTTTACCATTTCATAACGTGTTTCTAGAGACGATTTAAAGCAGGTTACACTTGCTTTCTCTTAGGAAAGACCTAGATACATCAAATTAGTGAAAATTCTTGCTATTTTGATTTAAGAAATTTTGCTAACCAGCTTTTCACCAGTAGTGAGCTTGTATCATTATACATAGACCCTAATCAGTCATCGCTGGTTACCCTTATGGTTACCCTTATGGTTAGGGATGCCAATGCCTGGTCAGAAATAAGGAACTCTTGTGAGAGACTAGATCTATACTATTGACTCATTATGTACAGACATTGATAATATTTTATCTAAATTATAATATTTGTCACCAACTGGTGGTGAGCATTTTATGAGATGCTTGTGAGTTAGAGAAAGAGTTAAGGGAATAGTTAGGGTTGAGTTAGATAAGGCAAATTAGATGAAAATATTTCAATACTAGCTTTCCCTGACTTTCTATAGAAAGTCAGGACAGAAATCTCTTGCAGGTCATTAACCCATCCCCTAGTTGAACCTTGAATTCCCCAATGTTTCCACTAAGTAATTTTAAAAATCAATTAATTCCATTTTTAGGCTCTCTTTTATTGAGCTTGAAATATCTCATTAATGGACTTAACATTTTCTTCTCTCTAGTTCACATATTAGACTTAGATTTGCTTATAGGAGTCAAGATTCAGATGAAATTTGATTTAAAATATATTACAGTTGTTTTATGGGAGAGCATTGTGCTACTCGATGGCATCTTTATACTTCTGAGATTGACACCAAGCTTTGCTTGGGCTTTAGTCTGATTTGATCTCTCCTGCCAGACTGCTGTTCAAGGTAGTACATAATTCATAGGTAACATGTCCAAAATAGCATGGATTGAATGAGGAGATATTATGACTCAAAGAAACATTTCCCTATTGTTTTTCTCTACCTTTATATATCGCTCTATCAGGTCTCAGAATCCCAAAAAGACTATCACCCTAAAAAGCAGAGGAGTATCATTGTCCTATTTGGGCTTTGCTGTCCATCTGAAATTTTTTCACTGAAAGGTATTTTCCAAGGGCACCTACATAGCCTTAGATATTGAATGACATTGCTTGTGCAATTGTAGCAAACATATGAGTGTCCTTGATTCGTGTATGATCTTTCAGATGTGTGTCCTTGTCCTGTTTCTAACCAAACCACTTCTAGTGATTTGATCATCATCAAGCTAGAGCAGGCACAGATGAAATCATTAAATATCTTATATACATTCAGATAAGAGTTCCTTGGTTTAATTATTTTCCAAATTATTTATTTGTATGTTTTTAACTTTCCATTACTTTTAGCATCCACAACCACTTTATGAGCTTACATATAAGATACAAAAAAAATGAATTCAAGTCGCATACTAGACCCTCAGTGATTATTTTTGGTTTCATATGAATTAATATTAAAAAATAACTTTTTTGGTATCTTTCTTTTTTCTTTCTTTCTTTACCTAGATGCTATGCTGCTTCTTGGGTAAATTGATAAAATACACAGCCCTTAAACTCAGAATGTTCATAATCTCACACTGAAGATAAGGATTTAGAAAACGTAGTCATAGATTCAACAGTGTTCTGAAGAGCAGGGTGGTCTGTGGAACAAACTTGAGTACTGGACGGAAGGAAAGCCCCCTGGAGGAAGTGACTGGGTTGTGAATTACAGCTCTATAACCTACCACATTGGTTTTCTTTAAATTCCACAGAAATGACATGATTCTGCCCACTCAGGGCCCCTGTAATTGCTGGTCCATTTGCCTAGAATGCTTTCTCTACCTACTTGCATCTTTCAGTTTACTCCGATTTACTTTTTAATCTGAAACCTCAGATTAATTTTCTCCATTTTGAGGAAGCACTTTTTAACTTCCTTCACTATATCTGAACAACCTGCTTTGGGTTTATAGTGTTCAGTCCTTTTACATTGTGGCATAATTATGGTTTATTATAAATAGAGTCATGCACTGAATAATGATATTTCAGTCAATGATGGACCACATATACGAAGGTGGCCCCATAAGATTAGTATTGTATAGTCTAGGTGTGTAGTAGGCTATACCATCTAGGTTTATGTAAGTATACTCTGTGATGTTGGCCCAATGACAAATTGCCTAACAACGTATTTCTAAGAAGATATCCCTGTTGTTAAGCAATACATGACTCTAATCTGATTAATTATTTAATTACTATTTGTCACATTCTTTAAATGATAAGACTCACTAATATAAAAACTGCTGGATTCAGGGGGGCTGACCCTGTGGCATAGTGGTTAAGTTTGTCACTCTCTGCTTCAGTGGCCCAGGTTTGGTCCCAGACACGGACCTATACCACTAACCAGTGGCCATGCAGTTTTAGTGACCCACATACAAAATAGAGGAATATTGGCACAGATGTTGTTTCACGGTGAATCTTCCTCAGGAAAAAAAACAGAAAAAAATTTTAAAAAGTGCTGGATTCACTATGAAATACAAAGCACCCAAAAGTGCAATGGGTATTTGGATACAGTCAATAACTTTTAGAAAATTATATAATGCACAAATGAAACATTGGTAAAATAGAAATTGGGCAAAATAAGAACTTTCCCACAAATAGGGAGTACCAAATATAAATTCAAGACCTAAAATGAAGCATGGCATATGTATGGAATGACAAATTTTGGTATGGTTATAAGATAGCATAAGTACTTATTGGATCACCCTACATTAGTCAAAACAATTTTGATCTTCATGTATTACAGTGTAAGTTCAGAGGAAAAATATTTACATGAAACTTTTCAATAGAACCACTTTTTAAGTCTTTCAGTACCTCTTTCCCATCCTTATTCTGTAGGCTGTAAATCATAGGGTTTAACATAGGAATCACAAGGGTGTAAACCAATGAGGTCATTTTGTCTTGATCTAGGGAGTAGGAAGAACTTGGTTGGAAATACATGAACAGTAGACTTCCCTGAAAAATTGCCACAGCAGTTAAGTGGGAGATGCAAGTGAAGAAAACTTTGAACCTCCTTTCAGCAGAGTGGATCCTTATCACAGCTAGGGTGATATATCAATAAGACACAAAAAGTCCTGAAAAAGTAATCAGTTCAATGGAGCCAAAAATGGTGACTATCACTAACTCATTGACCTGTGTGTCTGAGCAAGAGAGCAATGGGGGGGAGGGGACATCACAGAAGAAATGGTTAATCTCATTTGACCCACAGAAACATAAGCGGAATGTTAATGTTGTATTTATTGAAGCATCTCTAATGCCCACCATGTAAGCTTCAGCCACGAGCAGAGAGCACACTCTGCTGGACAAGTTGACTGTGTAGAGCAAGGGCTGCCAATGACCTTGTACTGATCAAAGGCCATGACTGCCAGCAGTAGACACTCAGAATCTACAAAGGTAGAGAAGATCAAGAATTGCCGAGCACAGTCATAGAGGGGAATTGACTTGTTCTTGGCAATGAAACCCACCAGCATTTTGGGTCCAATTGCTGTGGAATAGCAGAGATCACTGAAGGAGAGGTGGCTGAGAAAGAAATACACCAGAGTGTGAAGCTGGGAATCCTTTCTAACTAAAATGATCATCCTAAGATTTGCAACAAGATTAATGATGTAAACAACTAGAAACATGGTAAATAGGATCACTTTGATTCCAGGGGTACTGGAATTCCTTCTCCAAGAGGAGGAATTCATTCCAAGAAGAGCAATTTTCCTCATTCATTCTTCTTTATTTTTCTTCTAAAATGCTACAGAAATGATCAAGGAAATGGTAGATCAAAGTTTTAACTCTTCTTGATGCGCACAAAAATATAATCTGTAAATCAGAAAGGACTTATTTCAGTACACTATATTCTTTATCATCAGAACATAGCCTAAACAAGTTTGATTGTTATGTTGTTTACAAAAGTTAAAGTGTCTGGGACAGGATTTTGAGAAAGTTTGATTTTAAATTTAGATGTCATCTATAAGATATGTGGCTTGTGTGAACCCTCACTGATGTATCTCAGCAATCAGTCATGAACTGAAAGCTCATTACATGTCAAAGGTAATACGAAAATGACGCCTAAATTAAAGACAAAGCTGGATTATACAGCCTTATATTTGAAAAATAAATATCCAATTTGGCTTAAAAGTGATTAATCTTAGTGAATTCTTCAAAAATCATGATTTGCTTAAGACATATTAAATTCAGACACAATGAACATATTTGTGTTTCAAAAATAATGAACAATATGATGTTAACGTTTTTGGTCTACATTGTTTTACTATTTATTGAGACATTAAATATATTTTAATAAATTTTCTCTAGAATATATTTCTGAGTTGCCTCATTATTATTACCTACATGTCAGAGCAGTCTGGTGGCAAAGGACATTTCCCTTGACAAGAAAAAGCAAAAAATGCTAAAAACAAGTGGGTATACAGAATTTAACATGTACGTTTCCATCCCTTTAGATTTTAAACCTGACTCATTCATTAAAAATAGAGGTTTGAATAGAAATAATGAATATATCTTTGGTATATAGGCTTCTGTATGTGTGTGTGTGTGTGTGTGTGTGTGTGTGTGTGCATGTGTGTGCATGCACCTATGTCTCTCTGATGGAATATGAATGATGGTCTCATTATTTTCTAGATGATTAAAAGTGATATCTGGTTTGTATGGGGATGAATATACAGTAATTAGTATTTGTATTGTGATATCTCAATTTTTACTATTTAAAAATACTAGAAAAACACCTTAAATTTTCATATACTTTTCCACACTGATTAAAAAAATAAACATTATTCATCTTAATTTGGGCTAAGGTATAAGTAAAACTGTTCATTTGCTAATAAAAATGAAGTGAATTCACCCTGCTTTATTAAGGAATATCATTTTTTGCCATTAGGTTTCAGACGAATAACTAGAGGAAGTAAGTAAAAAAAATTTAGTTACAGCTTTCTAAATATTTGCTTCCTCATTTTTCCAAATGTAACGTTTTTATTCTTCACTTTTTAAATTTGGTGACTCAGAAACCAACCTGTGAGGAGCTTGTTTTCTGTGTTTACAGCTGTCAGCTGAACAATATAGACAGATCACATTTTACTTTTCTTAGTGATATTTGGGACTTAAATCGCTAAAGCCTACACCCTCACAGTTTTGGACTATGCAAGCATGCAATTAATTAGGTTTCTAGTTCTGAATTTTCCCCTGTGAATGCTTCAACAACTTCAGCAAACGCTGAACTTTTAATTCTTACGCTTGAACCAGATCGATCAATGTCAGGAAGGTAAAATTATTTCATACTGTGAGTCATTGCTACCCTAAGTCTACAGAATCTTCCTCCAGTGAAATCAGACATCTAATTAAACTCAAAGAAGTCCTTTACTTAATTTTTTAATTTCAATTCTTATTTATCCTGTTGAATTTATTGCATTAATGTGTTTAATAAATTATTTTAACTATTATTTATCTTTAATTATTTTTATGTTTCTTTCATTTCTGAAACAATGTCCTTCACCTTCCCACTAAAAACACACCAATTTTACAATGGTTATAATAAATACTTTTTTTTCATTAAGTCCATGTGATTCCATTTCTCCAGTCACATCATTCAATCAGGTGTCGATTGTTTTATGACTGTACTATGTCCGCTATACCTACCACAGTTTCTTTAAATTATCTTTACTTTATTCTTACCTATGTCTTTTACCACATTGCAATCTCCTTAGAAATAATAGCAGTCTTTGGCTAATTTGCATAGTTCCCGTAGCCCTAGCACCAGGACTTGCACAACTGATGTCTAATTCAATACTTCTTAAATATTTTAAGTGGTTAGGTGAGTGATGGACCGATAGTAAAAATAAAGAGGCTTTTGGAGACCATTTCAGCTAATATTGATCACACATACGTGAGTGTATGGAAAAAGCTTTAAGAAAATCCAAGATCCTATTTTTCTAAAAAAAATTTAGTTTTACCTTTATTCATTGTAATATTGCAAAGGTGAGAAGCATTTGAGTGTAAATTTGTGTCCTCTCTAAATATTGTTAAAATATCTATACTACCTAAAGTGATCTACACATTTAATGAAAGCTCTATCAAAATCCCAATAGTGTTTATCACAGAAATAGGAAAATAATCCTGACATTTGTATGGAACCAAAAGACACCTGGAATAGTTAAAAGTCTTGAGAAAGCAGAAGAAAACTAAAGGCATCACACTTCCTGATTTTAAACTAACAATATTAATTCTTCTGATTCCAGAGCATGCAACATTGTTCTATTTATTTGTGTGTTCAATTGCTTTCATCAATAACTTACAGTTTTCAATATATATATCTTTCACTTCCTTGGTTAAATTTATTCCTAAGTATTTTATTCTATTCTTTTTGATTCTATTATAAATAAGATTGTTTTCTTAAACTCTGTTTCTAATAGATCATTATTAGTGTATAGAAACGCAACTGATTTTTGTACAATGATTTTGTTTTTAGCAACTTTACTGAATTTGTTTATTAGTTCTAAGTGTTCTTCAGAGGAGTCTTTAGGGTTTTGTATATACAATATCATGTCATCTGCAAATAGAGACAATTTGATTTCTTGCTTTCTGATTTGGATGGCTTTTCTTTCTTTTATTTCCTAATTGCTCTGGCTAGGACTTTCAGCACTACGTTGGCTAAAACTAACAAGAATGGGAATCCTTGTCTTGTTCCTCATCTTAGAGGGAAAGATTTCACCTTTCACTGTTGACTATGATGTTACTTGTGGGCTTGTCATTTATTGCCCTTATTTATATTGAGGTAAGTCACTTCTACACCTAGTTTGCTGAGTTTTATCATGGAAGGATGTTGAATTTTGTCACTTGTTTTTTCTGCATCTTTTGAGAGGATCATATAATTTTTATCCTTCATTTTGTTAATTCGTTGTATTGTTTGATTTGCAGATGTTGAACCATCCTTGCATCTGTGGAATAAATCCCACTTGATTGTGGTATATGATCCTTTTAATTGACTTTTGAATTTAGTCTGCTGAAATTTTGCTGAGGATTTTCACGTCTACGTGCATCAAACATATTGGCTTTTAATTTTATTTTCTTGCAGTTTCCTTATCTGATTTTGGTATCAGGGTAATACTGACCTTATAAAATGAGTTTGGAAGGGTTCCCTCATCTTTGGTTTTTTCAAGAGTTTGAGAGAGATGGGTATTAATTCTTTGCATGTTGGTAGAATTCACAGAGAAGCCATCTGGTCCTGGACTTTGTTGGGAGTTTTTTGGTTACTGATTCACTCTCCTTACTAGTAATTGGTCTGTTCAGATTATCTGTTTCTTCATGATTCATTCTCTGTGAGTTGTGTGTTCTAGGAATTTCTCAGTTTCTTCTAAGGTGTCCAATTTCTTGATGTATAATTGTTCATAGCAGTCTTCTATGATTCTTTGTGCGATACCAAGTATAATGTATCTTCTTTCATTTGTAATATTATTTATTTTTGTCTTCCGTTTTTTCTCTTTGTAAGTCTAGCAAAAGACTTATCTATTTTGTCTATCCTTTAAATACCAGCTCTTTTTTGATTGATCTTTTCTATGTCTTTTTAGTCTCTCTTTCATTTATTTACGCTCTGATGTTTGTTATTTCATTCCTTTTACTAACTTTGGACTTAGTTTATTCTTTCTAGTTCCTTGAGGTATAAAGCTAGGGTGTTTATTTGAGACCTTTTTTTCCTTAATGTAAGCATTTCTAACTATAAAGTTTCATCTTAGAGCTGCTTTTGCCACATCCCTTAACTTTAGGCATGTTATATTTGTATTTTTATTTATCTCAAGATATTTTTTTGAATTCTCTATTGATTTTTAGTTTGACCCATTGGTTGTTCAAGAGCATGTTGATTATTCTTTATCTATTTGTGAATTTTCCAGTTTTCTACTTCTGTGTGTTGTCTAGTTTCATACCATTGTGTGCTTGGCATGATTTTAAACTTCAGTGGTATTCCCGAATGGAAGTCCTGTTGGTTATCAGAGCCAGGATATCTGGGGATATGTTCCTCAGATAGCAATCACAAAAGCTGGGGTGCAGATGTCTATGCAAGATCCTTCCAGGGATATACTTCTGACTTGAGGTGAACAAGAGGGAGAGAGTGGAGGGGGGTGCCCACAGGCTTTTCTGATCTCCAGGGAGGATCTCAGTCAGCCACACAATGCTTGCTAAATTAGCAGCCTGTCCCTGAGGCAGTAGCTTTTAATGTTTGCGTATAGATTCCATTCAGGGAAAGACTGAGAGATTTTCTGCCTGCTCTCTCAGTTCTGAGCCCTGGTGTGATAGCTGCAGCTAGTGCTGGCTTCTCTTAATAACTACTTCTTTATTTGCTACACTCTCATGGGTCTTGTTTAAACAAGTCCCATTGGCTTTCAAGGATAGAAGATTTGGAGGCCTATCCCTCTGCTGAGAGTCTTAAAAGTTGGGCTTCTAGTTGTGGAGTCCAAATCGTTCACTTGTCAGGGAGAAGCTGAGAGCTAGAGGTTTCCTCCCAATTGTATGTCCCTTTGCTGGGGGTAGGATTTATTACAAAAGTCTGTCTCAGCTTTTCCTAGCCATTTCATTGTGGATATGTTTTCATTCTTCTGATGTGTAAGAGTCACTCAGCTGTTTTTTTGATTTCCTTCAGAGGGAATTGTGGCATGTGTAGCTGTTCACTTGGCGTGTCCATGGGAAAAGGGGAGTTCAGGAGCTTCCTATGTCACTATCATTAAAGACCTTTCCTTAACCCCAAAAATACTTTATTTGGACAATTATATTGTCCATCAGTCACTGGGGATGTGTGAGAATGATGTCATGTAGAGAACCGAAGAAGGGAAGGGAATGATAGAATGGAAGTAGAGAGGCTATAAAACATCATAGTATTTTGATGTGGTGTCCCCTATTTATGTAGAATATGGAGATAAAAGAGTCCTTAGACGACATCTCCCCAAAGTTCTGTTTCAGTCATGAATCTCCTAAAAATATATTCCTTGTAATGTGTTATTAAGCCTAATATATTCAGGGTGAGGAAGCACACAATTAATTCAATCAATCAATTCTAAGTTTGGAATTTCATTTACAGGGCTTAACATTCTCATCTCTTTAGTTCAAACCCTTTCATCCTGATAAAACTGTCAATATATTGATAATCAGTCTTTTGATTCTAAAATATATACTTTTCATAATGGAGGGAGATAAGTTAAAAAGGTGAAATATTTACTTCATCTAAATTAGCAGCGATCCACTGACATCCCATTTTTCTTAGACAATACATTTCAAACAGTGTTTTCTACCATGCTGCTACTCATAAGTAACAATTCCAGAAGAGCATTTGTTAACTGAGGAAATATAGTTCAGTTGAAAACCCTTAAAGCCTTTTGTCAAAAAGAAGAGAAATAGTCTCCATAATATTTTTTTTTCTGTCATGATAATGTGATAGGTCACACTGTCCCACAAATGCTCTTTGGAAAATCAGAGAGTCTTCTTGGGTTTTACTTCCATTTTGAAATGATTTCCCACAAAGGCATTTTACAATGGCAACTAGAAAATCTAAGACATTCAATGGCCTTTAACTTCTATCATTCTAATGGATAATAAAGAGTAACCTTGAGTCTTTCAAGGTCCTTCAATTCTATAGCCATAACCATGTTGTCTCAACAAGCTGATTCAGTGCTTTAACTGTCAGAAGCAATAGCAGAGACAGATGAAACAGACAAATATTAAGAACATACATAGGCAAATCCTCTTTACTTTAAGTGTAATCGGCATGTATGTCTTTACAGATCCATTACTTTAGTATCCACATCCACTATACGTACTTTCATAAAAGTTATAAAATGTATATATACAAGCCACATACCATAACTTCAGTTAATTTTGTGTTACTGACATCTAATAGGCAGTCAAACATGTTATCTACAATTTTATTTTATTGTTTTTATTTGTTTGTTTTGCCTTTTGCTGTCCCAAACACTATGCAGGTACTTTGGATAACAGGGATGGAATTCTCAGTCCTTGAGCAAAAATGGCTCAAAATTGCATATTAGAGACGGTGATTGAATGAACAGGGTGGTATTAAAACAATGCTTAAAGGAGACAGCTGTCTGTGAACTATAAAAAGGGACATTTAACCAAAGCTGAGAAAGGGGAGGAATTGAAGAGAAGCTTCCTGCAAGAAGTGATAGAGGAGTTGATAGTAAATAATTACAGCGCAATGATGTAATTTATCAAGGCACTTTACATTGCTCTTTATAACCTATCCTTGGGATTCTTTAATGCTAAAACGTTATAAAATCGGCCACGGGAAGACTTCTGTACCTGTCAGGCTCTCTTTCTAGAATCCTTTCTGCTCCCCAAATCGCATTTCTTTTTAGATCTAAGACTATTCAGATATTCATTTCCATCCAGGGAAGCTTTTCTTCTACCGACTAGATTTTCACATTTTTTCTAGATTGTTAACCTCCAATTTTTAACTTTATGAAAGTTTTGAGCCTTATTAGGAATTATTTGAGTGTTTAGTTAAGTAACGTCTATTTATTTTTCTTCATTATAGAGTTTATTAGTATAGAAACTTCTGGATTCATCCTGAAATGCAGAGCATCTAAATGCACAAAGAGCACATAGTGAACACAATAAATCTTAGTACTTGAAATGATGCTTGAGTGAAAGTATGATTAAAAAAAGTGGCAAAATTAGAAGGTTTGGGAACATTTTCTACAAAAAGATGGATCACAACTAAATTCAAGACCATGGTAAATCTTGACAGATTTGGGGAACTGCAACATTTTCTTGTGGTCGAGCTTTATTACAGATACTCATTTATTTAAATATGTGAGAAAATTATGTTTCTCTTGTATCATATTATATAATTTTATGAAAATAACAATCATTAAATGTGTGAGTGTGTATGTGTACACACAAGTATTTAAAACCATCTTTTACTTCTCAATTTTTCTAGGGCCTCTTTCACATCCTTTTTCTGCAGGCTATAAATCAGAGGGTTTAACATGGGAATCACAAGTGTGTAAAACAATGAGGTCATTTTGTCTTGATCTAAGGAATATAAAGAACTCGGCCTGAAATACGTGAAGAGAATAGTTCCCTGGAAAATTGCCACAACTGTTAAGTGAGAGGCGCAGGTGGAGAAAGCTTTGAACCTCCCCTCAGCAGAGTGGATCTTCAAGACTGATAGGATAATATAACAGTAAGAGACAAGAACTCCTGAAATGTTGCTCAGTTCAACGAAGCCAAAAATGGTGAATAATACCAACACATTGACTTGTGTATCAGAGCAGGAAAGGAGGAAAAGTGGTCGTAAATCACAGAAGAAATGATTAATCTCATTTGACCCACAGAAGCATAAGTGGAATGTTAATGAGGTGTGCATCAAAGCATCTGCCATTCCCACCAGATAAACCCCAGCCAGGAGCAGGGAGCACACTCGATTGGACATATTGGCTACATAGAGCAATGGGTTTCTAATGGCCTTGTACTGATCAAAGGCCATCACAGCCAACAATAGACACTCAGAATCTGCAAAGGTACAGAAGATGAAGAATTGCAGAGTACAGCCATAGAAGGGGATTGATTTGTTCTTGGCAAATACATCCACCAGCATCTTGGGACCAATTGCTGTGGAATAACAAAGGCCACAGAAAGAGAGGTGGCTGAGGAAAAAGTACATCGGTGTGTGCAGTTGGGAATCCATTCTAATTAAAGCAATCATTCCAAGATTTCCCCCAAAATTAATGAGATAAACAACTATAAACATGGTAAACAGGATCACTTTCATCCCAGGGTTATTGGACATTCCCAAGAAAATGAATCCATTCAAGGAGGAGCAATTTTCTCCAATCATTCCTCTTTGTTCTTACCTAAATTTATGAGGAAATAATAAAAAAAATGATAGATACATTTTAACTTTTCCAGAAGTCCACAAATATTTGAACAGGAGAACACAATTTCTTTCTGTAATTGTTTTTTAATGCTCAGAAAATTATCCAGCCATGTTCCCATTAAATTACTCATCAATTAAAGAAGGGTTGCTAAGTATTTGAGAATGATAAAAAATAAATTGAGATAGATATTGGAAAATTTTTATCTGGTGTACATATCATTCATAATATATGTGAATTTCTGTAAGTTCTATTTCTCCAGACTTTAAGTTTCTTCTCTCTGGCGTAGATTTAGATGAATTAATATCTCATTCTACACTCAAAATAATGTGGAAGAGACGATGTTAGTGGGACCAGCCTGTAAGATGTATGACTAAGCATTTTCTAAGCCTGAAAATAGTCACATGGACACAAAAAATGATTACCATTGTTACGTTCCTCAATATGGTTGGCTTAAAAGACTTGATGTTAATTCTAGAAACAGTGAGTATCATTAACGAATAATAATGAAAATGATTATGTTACTGTTCCTGGTCTAAATTATGTTTAGTTTTTGGTGAGACATGAAATAACCATTAAACCTTTCCTCTAGAAATTCTTATTGCTCTGTCACAATACTCATGCCCTATTTGTGGGAGTTGTCTGGTGCCAAAGATGACTCTCTTGACCAAAGAAAAGTGCTAAAAAGAAGTGAAAACAATAGAATACAACACATACATTTGCATCTTTTTGGTTTTTAAATGGAGTTTTAAATTTAAAAAATGTAAATAGAATGATGGACAATACATCTTTCTGAGATATAAAGGCTTCTCTTACTTGTGTATCTGTATATTTATGTGTGTGTCACGTGTTTGAAAGCATATATGCATTTGTTGATATATGAGAATTTACTTTTTCTTGGAGTTAAGTAAATATAGCATGTGGTTCACATGGAGGTGAATATGCATGTTGCTATTTGTAAGGTGCTATCTAAATTATTTCTGAAATAAAAAAACTTAAATTCATGTACATACTTCCCCAGTGATAAACAGTTCTCCTGTGACCCTGGATTAAAATAAAATCATTAAAATACTATTTTGTGAATACTAATAATTTCAGTCAGTTCTGTTCTGAGAAAAAATATAATTTTTTGATGATAGATTGCTGACTTTATTAAACTGTGTCAGCAGCTGTAAAAATCAATCATTTATAAATTTCTTTTTCAAAAATGTCAAAAATTTCCCCTATGTTCCTTAAATTTGGAGACTCAGGAACCTACCTGAGATGAGTAGGTCTTTCTGCATTTGCTACAGGTGGCTGAAAAATAGGCAGATAGTATTTTATTTTACCAGATAGCATGTGGTACTTAAATCTCTGACGCTTTCACCCTCAGGCTTCAGTATATGCTAACATGGGATTAATTATATTCCTTGTTCTGTATTTTCCCCTGCGAGTACAGCAAGAACTTTAGCAAAAACTGAGTCTTATTTCTTCACTATTGTCAACATGTTGATCTGACAGGAAGAAAGCTGCAAATTACTTTTGTGTTGAGCTTCACATTTACACTGAATCTGAACCCTCTGCCTCAAAGGAGAAATTCAATAAAATACAAAATGATCCCCTTCTTAGTAATTTTCATCTCCTTTCTATTTTTCATTTTGTTTACTCTATTTGTGAAGCATTCTCCTTCACCAACGCATTTGGGAATATTATTATCCTTTGATGGTACTAATTTTACTGAGACATAATTTTATATACTATAAAATTTACCCTTTCCATGTATGCACTTCTTTAGTTTTTTGTATTTTCAGAAAGTTGTGCAGCCATCACCACTATCTAATTCCAGAACATTTTTCACCACTCGGGTAAGTAACTCATACTCAATAGGCACTTCCCCTTCTTGCCTCCCCACTACTCCTGGCAACCACCAATCTGCTTCCTGACTGTATGAGATTGCCTATACTGGACAGCTCAGATCTTGGCATTATACAATATGTGTGTGTGTTGGGGGGGGGGTTGTTGATAGTGGTCTTCTTTTACTTAGCATAGTGTTTTCAAGATTCATCCATGTTTTAGCATTTTCAGAATTTCCTTTTTTATGGCTGAATTATATTTCATTTTATGAATAAGGTACATTATCCATTCATCAGTTAATGGACATTTAGGTTCTCTCTACTTTTTAACTGTTATTCATAATTATGCTTAAATATTCCTGTCAATGGAAACTATAAAGGTCACTTTCTTCAACAAGCATTGTCTCATTCTCATCCCCAAAATGCATCTCATCCATCCACACTTTGTTGATTTTATGACTCTATCACATTCTCTATACTTAGTAGACTCTTTTTTGAATTATTTTTATTTTATTCATATAAAAATCTCTATTACATTTAAGCCTTTATAAATACTTTCAGTTTTTAATTTTATATTTCCCAAAGTCTGTAGGACAAGGATTTACAAAGGTAATTGCACCCTAAATATTTATCCTTAAATATTTTAGGTTACTTGAAATGGAGGCTGGTGTATGAATAGCAATGCACTAGTTTTTGGAATTTTTTTCTGCTGATATATTTCCTATGTGCAAGTATGATCCAGTTAAAAACTTGTGCGTGGATAATCATTTTTCAAGAATAAATTTAGGGGCGGGCCCCGTGGCTGAGTGGTTAAGTTCAAGCTCCCCTTCGGCGCCCCAGGGTTCGGATCTTGGGCGCTGACATGGAGCTGCTCTTTAGGCCATGTTGAGGTGGCTCCCACATGCCACAGCTAGAAGGACCCACAACTAAAATATACAACTGTGTACTGGGGACGTTTGGGCAGAAAAAAGCAGGGAAAAAAAGGGAAAAATTGGCAACAGTTGTTAGCTCAGGTGCCAATCTTTAAAAAAAATTAAAACAAATTTAGTTTGCTACTATACATACTAATTCTTTAAGAAATTGAGAATAGTTGTAAGTTTGAATTTCCTGTCCTCCCCATATACTTCCCAAGAGATAACAGTGGAATTCTCCATACTTCTTAAACCTTGATTATCCATCTTGGAATCTGGTGTGACTGGGTTACTTCCTAAGGTCCCAGAGTTAACTCTGATTTCACAAAGACAATGATTGAAATGCCTGTCACTTTTCCTTCTATATAGCCGCCATTCCAGTACTGCTTTATTCAGTGGCTTTGTAAGTATGTACAAAACAAAGAATAAAAAGGTTACACACATTCTCATGCATTTAGTTAAAGTGTTAAAAATATTAATAAAAGAATCTGGAATGAGAAATCTCAAAGTTCTGCAGTTGCCTATGATGGTTTGGCAGATTAAAGATGACTGCACACATCTTACACCTTTTCCTTAAAGACAATGTTCTTATATATCCTCCTGTTGAATTTTTGCTGTTCTTTAACTGCTTTGACTAACAGAAATATGCAGAACTATTGTATGTCACTACTGAGAGCCGCCACGTAGGAAGTCCAACTATCCTTCTGGGTAAACCGTATGATAGACTCTGAGACTATATGGAGAGGGAAGGGGGCCAGCTGAGTAGATCTTTCTAGGCATTCTCATCCTGGTGCCAGTTATGAGAGACCCTATAGCCTATCCCAACTCTCAACTGAATACTTCACTGTGACCTCAGTCAACATAAGGAAGAACAGAATAATTGACCAATGATCATTGTTTTAAGCCATGCAATGTTTATATAGTAAAAGGTAACCAGAATAGTATATAGAGAATATAACTAGAGAGAAACTTTGTTTCAGGAAGTATTTATTTTCACTATTACGTACTTTTTCATGTATACACAGATATATATATATATATCTGTGTATATATATATATATATTCTATAAATAAGGATGCTTGTTTCTAGACTCAATTCTTAAACTCTTCCTTTGTCTTTGATTCATCAGAATACTATCCAAATTTTCTATTTCTAAGTTTCCTTAGGAGAAATAATTGGTCTAGATAGTTCACAATAAAATTTCCAGTACTAAAAGGCTATGAAGGAACCCCAAAAGCACAGCATGAAAGGCTAACACATTCAGAGATAAGTATGTAAAATCAACTCTAAATTTCATTAATAGTGAGCATAAGTGTTGTTTTCAGGAATACCTGGATTCCATTAACAACGTTTGGAAGTGGAAAATGGGAAAAAATACACTGATCTTACATCTGCAGTGTATCTTCACTTTTAGAATTATGATGATTCACAAGTATTAGTGTTATCACTAATCATCTTATAGTTTCCTCTTTACTTAGTGAAGTAAAACAATAACTTTTATAAGTAAGAATTTACGGTTCATTTAAATTCCCTTAGCAATTATTTTATTAACTCTCTACAGTAAATGAGTGATACCACAAAGCAGTTCAGAGAAATGTTATATTCAATAGTAAACTAATAGCTTGGGCAAGCATTGAAGATAGAGGATTGCCCCCAGAATATTGATTTGTATATAGCATGGCAATTTTGTCACTTGGCATGAGAAGAAAAATTAATGTTAGCAAGCCACATTGTTTACTCACCAGAAATAAAATGCATGTATGTGTATACATGTACGTACATTTGTGTGAGTATATGTTTCTATATGCATGGACACACATGTTGAATTGAGGTGGGAGCAGATTGGGTTGTAATAGCTTTGGTAGGCTGTTTTTGTATGTAACTGTTACAGTATCCCTTCAATTTTGCTTAATAATTGGCAGGGATAATGTTTATAGCCAATCTTATAGCATATACACACACACACACACGTGCACAAACACACAACTCACACTCTTATAGAATGCTATGTATACAGTGCTCCAGGTATGTGCGTGTGTTTGAATGTGCAAAGTAAAAAGAAAAATTCTTTGCTAAAATGTAGTAGAAAGAATCAGTAATAAGGTATATTAAAATTTCTTACTTTAATCAGAGAGGAGCTTCCTGAGTTCAAGTCCAACATCATTTGTGAAGATAATTTAACACCTAGTGATTGCTTTTAAAGTTTGTAAACATTCATAGAATACAGTATCACCATAAAACTCCTATTCTGAGTTCACATGTTTATTGTAAAAGGTATTACATATCTGTTTTGAGCTGGAGGAAAGTCTACTTGAATGGAAAATGACTAATACTGGATTTTATTTATTATAATTGAACACTTGAACATTATTAACATTTGTGTGAAAAGAAAATGAGGTGGAGATGGCTGAATTGTCCCATTCCGGGGAGTAAATAGAAAATAAAAAAAGTTGTTGGCTCCTGAAATTGTGCAACATGGCACCCCTCGGGGCCTCTGTATTGGCCACATTCTGAGTGATATATACCACATGTGAATCAAGAAAGTCCTCTTCAAAGAATAGATTGTTATGCTTTATGTGATGTTCCAAAAACTAAGATACCAAATGTACTCCTGTGGAAGATATTGTTGATTAAGAGCTCAAACCATATAACTAATTGCTAATAATTTTATACTATTTAAACTTAAGAGACTGGTGATTTGTGTTAACCAAGGTGTTTGCTATCACTGTTTAGTTTTCTGGTACATATTTTGAGGATGTAGAATTTTTCTTGGTCTTTTCAAATTAGTTTTCCCCTCAGTTGCTTTCATGTCTTCAGGGATGTGAAAATCCCTCAGATTACATTTTGTTCAAACAGGATGTAACTGTAGCTTCTTATACAGGGCTGCTTTTCCAGACCCTGTAGACTAACTTCCCTTCAATCTACCCCCTCCCAATGATGTAAACCTGAGTCTGTGGCGCTCCATTGTTATTATAAACTGCATAACTTAATTTAACTCTAAAATGGATCTGTTTCACTAAGGATAGAGTTCTTAAATAATTGAAAATACACTGTCTTTAGAGAAATTTTATACATCAGATACGAACAAGTGGGAAAATTCATATGTAAGGGTTTTCAGATGACACTAAAGCAATGCTATGTAGGCATATGACTACCTAGAAGATCACATTCTTCAGAAAATAGTTGTCTGTCCCTGAAACATTAAGCATTATGACACAGATTTTATTTCCTGATAGTGGCCGCAAAACACACTGTTTCCCTGCCACTGGAGGAAAGATTAGAAATGCCTGTGGGTGGATAAAAACATTGTTGTTCTGCAAGCAAGACAGCACTTTGAGTAAGATGAAGATTAATTATATACTGAGCTATTCAATGAAATTAGGCAGTATATTAATTTTACAAATATATTATGAACATATTGTGTACAAGGAACTGTTAAATTAAAAAAATTTAAAAAATAAATCTTGTCATTGTTTACAAACTGATAGTCAACATACTTTGTTTTTGGGAAATCTGTAGTATAATATGCATATGGAAAACTTTCACGGAATAAAAGTATACAGCAACTCAATTTTCAGATATTAAAAGATCTCCTCACCCAACCAGGCAAAAAAAAACAAAAACACATTACTAGCATCTTAGAAATCATCCCACACCCATCAGACATTGATGTACAATATGCTAAGTTAGTTTTCATGTTTTTGAGGTATATAGTACCACAATCATACAGTTTTATGTATTTTTGTCTTGCTTATTTTACTCAACACTATGTTTGTGAGATTTTTCCATGCTGTTGCCAGTGGAGATAGTTCATTCATCCTCATTGCTGTGTAGTTTTCCAGTGTACAAACTTACCAAAAAGTTGTTTATCTAATTTAGAATGGGGATCAAGAAACAATGGTGCATAAAGTTTTATTGGACTTGGGACACACCGTTTTATTTATATATGGTTGATGGGTTTTTTTGTGTCCATCATACAAGAAAAATCCTGAGTGATTATGACAAAGAGTTTATGGCCTGCACACTCTAAAATATTCACTACTTAACACTTTGTCAATTCTTCATCTACTCTGTTGATAAAACTTTGAATTGCTTTCAGTTTTATGCTATTGTAAATAAGACAATGGTGAATATAACTGTACATGTCTTTGGGTAGACAGGTTAACTCATTTCCCCTGGGTATAAACCTAGGAACAGAATTTTGAGGTCAAGGACATTTATATATGTACATTTAGTAGACACTTTCATGAAGTTTTACAAAGTACAGTGCCAATTC